CTAATTCTGTTTTGACAGACATGAGTGACAGCTCTGCCACTGGTGCCAAGAAGATTAAACTGAATGATGATTCAGATGAGTCGAATTTGTTTAATTTGTTTATAAATATCAAAGATAACAAGTGCCTCTTGAATTTCCACAAGAAGTGAATGTGCTATTTCTCATAACATTTTAGGCTTGGTTTTTAAAGCTAGATCCATATTGTTCAATTCAAAAGAAAGAAACCCAGCATGAAAAATCACTTGTCCAAATTGAGCCAATGTCTAACATGAGTCCGTCACCTGGACTTTTGATATACAGTGAAGAGAACAGGCTCTTCCAGGATGTAATTCATCTTGTACAGTAGATGTCTTAAAAATTCAAAGGGATTGTGCTTAGAAACACTCATTTCCTTCCACTGACTGTAAAGGCAATGAAGATGACTAGGTCAGGTGTTGATATCTACACATGAAATGAACCCTATCTTCATTGACTTGAATAGAGTCTGGACTGGAGCTTAACAAAGAGAATATTGTGAGGCCAAGGGACACAAGCACTTAATTTTAAAAACAGGAATTGGAAATTTATAGCCCAAATGACTAAGATTCTTGATTGGGTGGGCATTTTTGCTGGAAACACTGAAATTCAGAAGCTGCAGCACACTGAAGTAAAAGAAAAATATGACAAGGAAAAAATCCTGTTGAAATTTTACCTTTCAAAGAGACTAAAATCAAGACTTTAAAAGTGCTCTGAGTAATCAGAGTACAGAGAATAATGAAGAGGAGGGAGTTTAAGGCAAGCTAGTACAGCTGAAGCTGAACTTCAGAGACAGATCGCCTACTTAAGATTACAGCACACAGCATGTTCCAGTGACTTTCTGACACTTCATCTATCTTACTGTATGAACTGCTTCCAGCAGCAGATCTATCCTTCTAAAACTCCCACTTCTGCCTCTACTTGTCTTTCAGTTCCCTCCCCATTTGATGCATTCAAAACTCTCAAGAGTATTTCAGGAGACAAAAGGCACCTGAGCAACTGACAGACATTCTGGTTATCTGGATTTTAATATCGAAATACAGCATTATTGTGGATCAGTGCATATCTGACCAGGCTTTTTTTGTCTCAGTCCCACTTGCATATGGCAAACTTTCCTGGTAGTATCCTGAAAAAAAATAGATGGTTTGTTGAATCGGTGAAATGCAGTATTACCACAAAGTCTTAGGTAAACTGCTTTTAAGAACACTGCAACTGCATTAAGCAAAATGTGAACAGGACTATAGCTATTAGGTGATATTCATTATCAGCATGCCCGCTGCCTGGAGGTTTCCTTTCACAATATGCACCCTAAATATACTATGATAAACTATTTGTCACTTTAGACTACCAGGAAAGGCAAAAGGGAGATTATTACATCTGCCGATCAAAATAGGTATCACATACCTCAGCTGATATATTTTTAGTTGTTGAGAGGAAGTAAAGCGAGGGTTTTTTCCAACACTTGCGACCTCTCCATCTTATCTGACGTCTGACTCTGGTACAATTCCCTAGACTTGGCTACTATCAGCCCTCAGTCTTAGACCACTGAAACCAACACAACCAATCACTATTGGATGATCTGCTCCTTTCTGTATCGAAAACATGGTAGGCTACTACTATTTTTTTAATGAAAGGTATGATACAAATCCTACACAAAATCTTGTTCACTGACAGGTGTTGATACCCGTAGTGAGTAAGTTTCGTGAAGGAAGATTTTCAGCTTCTGATATTTCCTAGGATACATCAAACTGTTTTAGTTTTCAGAGTGCATTAACTACAGTCCTATAGATTTTATTATAGCCTCTGTCTCTCACTAGATTTCAGTACATAAATATTGTTTCTAATTTCAAAGGCTAACTTTAGGTATAATGAGCGATCTCCCCCAGGACCGACAGAATGTTTACTTAGAAGACAGTTAAAAAACATACTTAGAACTAGGATTTTCCATTGAACCCATTTCTACTCTTTGAACTCCAGACAGGTTCCTCTGCTATATTCTACATCCATAGCAGCTGGAACAGACCATCGTAAATTTAGGTTTAACTGGAAAAACAGACAATACAAGAAATTCATAGTCTCCTCTGGCTTCTGCTGGCAGAGACTTGGTAACTACATTTCCACTAAACTTCTCCACTCAAATTTTCCTAGGCAGATAGTAAGGATGAGCTAAGAGCAGCAGTTTTTATCATAAAATGCAACCTGTAAAGTGAACATTTGTACAACACATCTGTTCAAACACAGCCAATCTTATAACAAAATGCAATACATCATATAACTTTCTTTCTACAAACTATCATTAGGACAGAATACAAAAAAGAAAATTTGTATTTTGTAGCTAGCACACAGTGTGTGCTATGCCATAATTCAGTTCTCAGACTGGTCTCTGTCATTTTTAAAACTATAGCATTTTTAAACTAGAACATTTTCTTTCTGTTATGAATTCTCATACATGCCTGAGCAATGGGTTAAGAAGTGGGGGGGAGATTTCTGAACATCCGAGATATTATTAATTGAACGAATGTTACCAATTATGTTATGTCTATCTTTAATCTAACCTAATACACATGATACTCTTGTGTACAGCAAAATCCTGAATACCTGCATCACCCAAAAGAATTTGGATAAATCTGGAGAATGAGGTTTTCCTTTCTGTAGACAAAATTAATATGCTTGTTTAGGCTACAAAGGTGAGAAAGAATGGAAAGACAAAATAGGGCATACATTCCCGGTGCCTGAGAAAAAGTTTGGCATAGCACTGTGCTCCATAACTTGGGAAATGGAATTTAATTGATAAAAATAGGAATATATTTAATGTGGTAAAGGAATCCATGAGTTTGTTCATGTTTCTTGAAATCTTTTCCAAAGTTAGTCTACATTGAAATAGCTTCAGTATAAAATAACAATAAGATATTATAAAATTTCAAATATTTTAAAATATCATTATAGTAATACAGATGAGACAGTCTAAACAAGATAAACCCTTCTGTGTGCTATGTGAAATTATATAGTCACAACAGCATCTTATCTATGGATCTTACTGTCTGGATAAGAGACAAGAGTATAAGAAAAGTGAGATTAAACACCAGTGTGAAGAACTAAACTGTGTCACCAGCGTCTGAGGAAATGCAGCAAACCAGGCCTGAACAAGCTATTTTTGCACAGTCCCAAGTCATAGTGCCTCAGTCGTACCACATTTTTTCAAGAATCAAGAAACAACTAGCCCAGGGAAACTAAATGCAGTTTAGGAAATGCCCCACGTTGAGAACAGTTAGGAGAGTGCACAGGGGAAACACCACATGTACTCGCCCTGCTCTTACTTCTTCCTAGTGTAGACGGAAAAACGGGCTAGAATGACCTAATTCTGAAGTTCAAAGTAATGAAGAATAACCATGCAGGCTAATGGCATCTGAACTGATCTATTTGTTTCCCTGCAGCCAGTGTAAAACATGCAGGTTGGATGTTAAAGACGCCCCCAGTGCTCTTCCAGAAAACAGAATTGTGATCCTGCAAACTGTTGAACTTGCAAATGGGGACATTTGCGTGATACCTGCTGCTCCGTATCTGTGAAGGACACTAGCAAAGCTCATTGTGTAAGGAAAGTTATAAATATCCTTTCAAATTTACAGCACAGGGGAAAAGATGATACTCTTTAAATGAACCTCATCAAATAAATACCCTCCTCTGCTTCCCAGCTAAGTGTTTATGAAATGCCTGGTAAAAGTGTACTTACGACGGACCTGCCCCAATGCTTTCTCTAACTACAAAGAGCTGTGAGCATAGCAAGGGCAATGAAAAAGGGCCGCCCGCCCCACGTGCATCACAAAGTGGGCTTCATCCTGCCCAAGAGCCCAGCTCACATCCTCCTGCCCGCTGTCACCATCCTGCTGCCCTCTGGTCAGAAAGGGACAGGGACCCTGAGGGTCTGGCATGAGTGAAGGTATATAGGGGTAAGCTACCCTTTATAGCGAGGTCTTTGGGAACTCAAGGATTGCCGGGATTACATCTAGGCATGGATGCCATGCCCTACAGCTAGGAAAACAGTTTAAAACAATGTAAGTAGTAGGCCACTGCACAATAACCAACATATTCACTCCCTCAAAAAGAAATTAGAGTTTTTATATTTGAGTAATACAAATGAACTGATGCATGCTGAGGAACTGAAGTTAAATTAGAGGGAAATAATATGTTGCTTAAAACAACATTATTTATTTCTCAAACTTCTAGTAAATCCTGAACTGTGTCAGCTGCAATCAAAGGAAATTTTGTTTATCCTCTAACATTTTCAAAACGAGGCCATTTTCCTAAATGACAAAATTTAAAGTAAAATATTGTAGCATCATTGGAATGATAAACACATTTACAAGTGAAAATATATTTGAACCGAAAGCAATGCACCTGACTACAAATAACTAGGCATGCCACTGAAAATATTACTGTAAAATACTCCCAGGCATATTTAAATAATTCATTCCAATACCTTGCATGATATGAAACATTTATTCTCTTACCACTATAAAATGATCAAAGGTACCTTGAATATAACTATTTAGTGATTTGGGGTTGTTTGTCTGGGGTTTTTTGTTTTGTTTTAGTTTTGTGTTTTGTTTTGGGGGATTTTTTGTTTGATTGGTCTTTTTACATACCTGCATCCCATATAGAAACAATCAAAGCAGAATGACTTTTCCTCAAAAATTAAGGACTTCTGCCTAGAATAATCCTTTTAGAGATTTTTCTCCTGTAAGTCAGGTACATTTGTGCATTTACAGTTAATTTAATAATACATTTAATCTAATTTTCTATGCAGCCATGTAAAAATCACTGTATGTTTGACTAGACTGCTACAAAGTTTGCTGCAGTTTGAGATACAGCATATACTTCGTACATGAAGAGCTTTGCCCTAAAAGCAAAAGCAGCTATAAGCTCATTTGACTTCTAATCAAAGTTTTTAAAATGTAGTATTTCTTCCCCTTTCAAAATGTTCTTACCTCTTCCTTTGTCTTTTTTGATATGACTCTTAGCCAGTCTCCAATCATGCTGAGGACAGCTGCAAAGTAAGCAAGTCCAACAAGGATCCAAAACCACACCACTGGCTTATAAAAATCTAGGTACTCAATATCTGATCCCCCTGAAAAACAATACAGTTAAAATTAAAGCAGACTTAATAATTAGAGGTGCAAAACTGTTGTTTAATTCTTTTCCTAAAAAAAACAGTTATATTTCTTACAACTTCTTCTATTTTCTCACCCATGCAAAAATTCATAGCAAAACATTTTGTTGAATTTGAATAAACAATGATCTAAATTCATAAACTCTTGAAAACACAGTTCGGAGTATGCAAATTTTAGACCATTATTGCTAATCATTCATAATAATTAAAAAATGAACCCAGACGAACTGATTCAACTTCTGATCTATCATTATTTAAGACAGAGGTCGTTGAGGACAGCTTGCATGAAAGGTCTTCCCAACCTGCTCCACATAACAATGCTGTACCAAATTTTAAGTATTGCTCTGGAATACATAATGTGTTCATATCCTGAGAAAACTGATTCTGCAACTGCAATGACTTTGAAATACATCTCAATACTTACATGAAACCTTCAGCTCTAGTAAAGCAGAATAGCACCTGCATTAACAAGTGTCCCTGTTGGGCAGGCAAACACTATCATCTCCATTTTGCAGAGGAGGAAACCACGGTGCAGGGATTTGAGCTGGACTGATCATACTCAAAAAAAAAGGTGGATAAACCGGATGTCAGCTGAAGGCAGCTTTTTTTGAATACCACTGCTGTAAGCACCAGTCGCTTTCTTCCTTTCAGTGTTAAAGTAAAAAAGGATGAACTTCAGAGATGTCTGTAATGGAGCTTTCGGGTACAATACAGCTATAGAGAACAGATGCCTTATTTTCACACAAAGTTATGTCCATCCAGAGCTCTTCACAACACAAAACAGCTCACATTTCACATCTTGCAGTACAATAAAACTTGCAATTCAGCCACGTCATGACAAATAAAATCAGGCTCCCAGTCTGGGTTGCTGCAAGTAGACATTTGATGTGTGTATCTGCCCACAGCTGAAGAGACTCTACAGTAAAACCTTTTCAGGCACATTAAAGTACTCTGTACTGGTACATAATATGTCGCTTTATGTATCTGCATCCTGTACTGAAACAGTCAAAGGAAAATTGGCCCCAAAATGTCAAGCACCTTGTTACAGTAACAAGATTAACTCTCACAGAGAGTAACCTTTTTTCCCTAGCTGTTACTATCTAATCATCACAGAGATTACATGCAAATAACAAATAATTTTACTAATAGTTATCTTGTATGGAAGCCCTCATAGAAAGAAATTTTGGTCCTCTCACGGCAATAAGCCTTTTCATCAATAAAATCTGTTGAGCTATAGTGGTTTACTCAACTACCCAAGGGATGAATTCACAATGCAAAAATGGATATACTTTGACACCTACAGTCACACATAAGGTAGAAGACAGGGCTCTGTGTGGAACAGAAGACAGCCAACCATCAAAGGGTTGAGTTTATCACAGCCCAAGACAACGAAATATCAGAAATAAAGTGATTTGTTAACATCATCCAGGTCGTGTCAATCCAGTAAAACAGGTAGAGATGATTCACCCAAAATTTGTCGTGATTCAAAAAATGCTTGATTACCACCATCCCTTTGCTCTATCAGGAGCTAGTAATGAACCATGCTCGGCGCTTCACCTTCTTCTCCAGCTGTTCACACAAGGCACAAGAAAGCATCACATAAAGCGTCCATTCAGCTGGTTTTAATTTTTGGTTTGTTCAGTTTATAAACTGCAACTGGAACCTAACTCTGCCAGTCTACAGGGAGCATTTCCTTCACAGTTTATACCTAATTTGTTTACAGCAAGGTTAATTACCAGGGCAGGAGTTAGGACACATTCATATTCAATCTAGAGTTCTCTTTACTGTCTGGCCAGGAGATGGCTCCATCTAGCCATGCCCAAAGGAGTTCAGCTTTCCTAAAGTTAGAAAGGGGCAGTTCACAACCCTCTAGGAAAAGGCTTAACAGCTAAAATCTTTATTGGCTGTGGACTTTTTGAGTTTCAAGAACTCCTTGGGTGAGGTCTCAATTTAATGGAACACCAGGGAGACAGAGACGTACTGAAGGATGTTTGTCCTGAGGTAACTGCTGTCCCCTGTGATGCTTAAACATCGCAGAGTGCTATAATGCAGTTACCTGGGAATGTCATTAAATAGAATTTCACTGATAGGAAAATATGATCAAAAGTCAACTGTACTGAATTTAAAGTAAATGGAATTCATTAACTACTGATTTACAATTCACATAAATGGGTATTAATGTATTTGGATATGAGTATGTATAGGTAAATGTATTTGTACTGAAGTATATGAGATAATTCATCTAATGGTTTTACTGGTAACATTGTTAAAAGTATATCAACATGATACATTTGTATGGATTTTTCATAGCATATTTTTTACTTAATAATGCTATAATCTTTCTTTTGCAAAGCAGATTATTTTATATAGCCCTTCAAGAAGCACAATGCCAAGAAGGTAGGTGCTGAATTTTGTTGTTTGTTTGGCAAACTCCATTTTGAGGGCCAAGGGACAAAACTTTTTTCCAACTTTGTTTGACCTCTACCTGAAATAAGGTACCCTTAAAATCTATGATAAATCAAAGAGTTTGTCCATCCATCTTCATCACAGGCTGTTGTATTGCCACTGCCACAACTCTTACATCTGCCAAACAATTTTTAAATTATTTTGGATTTTCACCACTTTGGAAGACATAGGTTGTTTTATGGCCCAAATGCATTTCTTACTGAGGTGAAAAGCTCTGTGTTTTAGTGAAGGATGGCACTAGAGAAGATTTCAGGGGTGCATTAGGACAAATTCTGATTCTCAGGTTTTCAAATATAGAGTCATAGAATGGTTTAGGTTGGAAGGAACCTCAAAGATCATCAAGTTCCAACCCCCCTGCCATAGGCAGGGAAAATAGATGTATTTTTAATGTATTTATTTACATAAAACAAGTAAATAATTTTCTTTTTGTTGCTACTCTTCTCCCCATTCTGTCTACAGCTAACTGACTCAAAAAGAAGCATGTAATTATTTCTGTGAAGTTGTCTGGTTTTGCTTGCATTTTTGCTTCAAAACTAAAAGCAGAGAATAGAAAGTTCTACTGGCATCGAGCATCTTAATTCCACACCAGCACAACCGCTGGGTTATTCAAAAGTTGGTCCTTCAAACCAAGAAACATCTTTATTATTTTTTATCAGCAGTACAAATTATTCTGGGTATAGAACTATGATTAAATCCAAAGAGAGTTTTAATTGCAGAACCACGAGTAGCTGGTCCATCATCCCCATTGTGACAAACCTGCCCAAGAGTCTTAATCCAGAAGCATCTTTTGTCCCACTCCAAAGAAATATGGAGGTTCAGCCCTTCAGCTTGAAAGGAATTACCTCCGAGGACTGCAAAAAGGGATGGAGAAAGGCTAGCTTATGCGGAGACGTGGAAAAGCAGCATGTTTAGGAGAAGATAACATTGCACTGCCTGCGAGAGAGAATGTAAGTCGGCCATCTGAGTTACTTGATGCCACTCAGTGGAAAATGGAGAGCTACTTCAGAATACAAAGCACAGCTATAAAACACTCCTTATGCGCTGTCCTATACAGAAACCGAGCAAGACACGGCACGCTGACTTGAGCTTAAAGCAGGCTGCATGGTTCACACCAGAAAGCCCCTATTATGGACCTGAAGTCCTGAGGTGGCAAAGAGCACTTCCAAATGCCAAAAAAAGACACACAGCCTGCGGGAGAGCGCACAGCTCTTACGGGATGCTCGACACGCGCCTCTTGCTCAGCATGACAGCAATTTCTTCCTGTAGAGCCCTTTCTGCCAGGTAAGTAATATCACATAGTGAGAGCAGACCAACTGGGCTGCTACAACCACCAGGTGAAGTGTTCCAGTTTGGTGACACTAAATGAGACTAAAATATCTCAGCCCTCTACAAACTGGGTCTCAGGCCAAGCAATACTGTGCAGACCCAGATATCTGTATTACAGTGGAAATACACTGAATTAAATTACAGACGAAAAGAGTAAAGAAGAAATAAGCTAAAAATCAGAGCTCAAACAAGGGAAAACAACAACAACAAAATAGTTAGAATACATTTTTAAAGTGAGACTTGCAAAATTCTGTAATCTGGTGAATTGGACTGATTGCAGTGCAACCTTATATCATCATTATGCCCCACTGTGAAACAGACTACCGATGTGCTATTTATATGTCTGACCTCTACTTAGTTCAGTTAAGTTTTGGACATCTCATCTACTTTTGATTTGAAATGTGTTCCATTAACTCCCTTAGAAATATTTGGCTATACCTTCCCATCTGCACTGCAGTTAAAGGATTTATCTGCACATATGAACAATATATTGTCATGTTATACATATATAGATGTACCTCAGTGCTAACTTTAGTACCCAATAATATCTTTCATTATACTAAAAAATGACACATTTGACATGAAAAGATCTCTTTCTTTTCTCTTTCACAGAATATACATAATATTGGTTTGATTTTCTTCTGTCATATTAAAGTCAATGGTTTCTCTTGAAAACAAGAAAAGGGATGTTTGACTCCTGATTTTCATAAGACAGTGCAGTCTGTAGTACAGATTCTTACTTCCTTTTTTGTGAAAAGCTACAAGAATAAACTTTCCTAAATTAAAAAAAAAATACTTATTTCCCCTGCAAAAATAATAAAAAAAAATCAACCTCTCCAAAAACTGGAAAAATCAAAGCATGTCATAAGATAGAGAAACATTAAGTTTGTTTTTTGGAATACTGTTTATACATTATCTTGAACATGCAGTACAAGGGCTTTTCATCTTTTGCCTCCTTGCATGCACCTTCAGTGATCGGTCTTCCATTTGCCTTAAGGCTTCTCTTGCTGGTAGAAACTGTAGCTGAAATTTCCATAGGCTCCAAACAGCAACCTAGATTCTGAGCACAAAAGGGGATGTTTTGGCATTTTAGTTTCTGGGAACAGAGTACTTGGTCTCCAGTACAAATGAGAAGAAACTTGTAGAAAAATTCTGGATAACTCTACAGGAATTTCTAATACGACGACCTGCACTACAGCCTTTAACACCATTACATTCCTGAATCCCAAGTTCTTCTTTCGGCTTCCTTTTAGTACAGCTATTCACAAACACTCTCTCCTTTACCTCCTAAAAGTTCTTCAGGGCTTCTCTTCAACTCTTACCTGCAGTGGTGCCAGAAAGCAGCAAGTTCCATATTAGTGAGAAGTGACAGACATTGTAAGAAAAGTTTCTTTTAACCCCAATACACATATTATCAAAACTGTGACATTTGTATGTAGAGCTTGCAAACTTATTTTCTTTTCTCTGGGATGACAGTTCCCAGAAAAAAATTACCAGAATATTTCAAAGTTTTCAAATATTTACAAATTTTTGATTTTTGAGGGAACTTTGAGCCAAAACTGACACATAATCATGAAATATACCATGGACCTTCAATATACTACAAGACTTGCCAATTTTATTTTTATTGCTAAAAGAGTTCACTCCACTGTAATTACAATTTGGAATATCACTGCCCACCACTCTGCTTTAGATTTGACTATAATTCTGTGGATGAAGGTAATTTTCACTCTAGGTATTTTTTAAGAAACATGCCTTTCTGACCAGGAAAAAAAAAAAAAAAATCAGAAAAATTAATAAATTAACGCCAGTGTGAATGTTTTTTTTCCAAATGAATTGCCATCCAGGCACTAAGTGGACTGAAGCGTCATTCTGCCTCACGTCTCACCGTGACAAACCAGAACCAAGAACGCCATGCTCTTAAGCCACAATTTCAGATGCAATACCCATATTCTGACAGCCTGCCCTACACCTTTATACAGCATTACGTGCCTTAACTCCACATGCTTGTTTCACCTCTGTTTATGACACTCAGCCTTCCTAAACTTCAAGGAGAGAGTGTTGTAGATGAAGCCTACCACAAAAATATCGATGGCGCTTAATGTCTGCATGCTAGTTATGACTCACTGAAAAGAAAAACAAGCAAACCAAAAAGTCATAAAGACACCTTACTAATTGTTACTGTGAGAAAGATTCTGCATACTTCCTCAAAATTCATACGGAAGCCTAGCCCTTAAAACAATTTTATCAGCTTCATTAAGAACTTGCAACGTGAGTTTTCTTCCAATAGCTTAGTATTTATGCACACTGATGACTCTAAACTTCCATAATGCAAAGCAGAGTCAATGAGTACCTTACCTATTTTTCAGGATTTTTATTTAACTAGGCAATTATGTACAGGAATAAGAAAACAAATGGACCTTTTTGAAAAATCCTTCAAGTCATTTTTCATAAACTATGTTAGTCCACACAAAGATGAAAATATTGCCAACTTCATTTCTGACAAAATACAGTTCCGTGGCAATGTTAACCTCCCAGTTAGGATGGAGATAGTCATCTAACCCTGTTCTCTTGAGCATCATCTGTGCAAGTACAGATCCAACTCCCACACACTGAAACTTTAAGTTAATAACATATTACGGTATGAATACAAGTCTTGTGCATCTTACTCTAAAAGAAAATAGAAAACATTCATGACATTTTTGACATCATGCATTTACAGTGGAACTTTAAAATAAAAAAAATATATATGAAGTGAACCATAAAAAGCCATAAGCTATAGAACAATGTAATTCAAGGACATTCTGTAGAAAGAGAAAGCATTTCCCGGTAAAATTAAAAAAACCCAGACATGATTTAGGAACAAATTATGATATCAAGTAGTCTACAAATAGAAAAATACGTGGAAATTTATAATGAGAGTAATGATGAATGTACTCAGTGTTCTAGTTAGAACCAAGTGAGCCATTTCACTTAATGCTTTACAGTAAATATAACCAGGCCTTTATACACTATTATATTTATTCCCTGACATACATGTACCCCTCAGGAACAAAAGTCTAAAATACCCAGACTCTTGGCTTGGAAACAGCGTAAATTTTTTATTTGGTGCAAGTTAGAATCTGACCAGAATCACAAATTCCTGAAGAAAAAATGGAAATAAGAAAAACAATATGGGAAAGGAAAGGGGAAGGGGAGAAATCAGTGAGACACATTCAAAAGAAATATGGAAACATCACAAAAAGCTATGTGAAAGTCCAAATAAATTGTTTGCCATTTTACAGCCCAGTTCCATAATTTATATGAATCTTTGGCAACTTGTCAAGTGGCCTTTATTTTTTAAACAGCTTGCATAACTTAGTATCTTCAACACTGGCTAAATTTTCCCCCATTTTACCCAGACCATTTATGAATACGCCAAACACTTCAGATGTCCTTGTGGGACTTCAACCTCAAAAACTTTTGCCAGTGACAAAACCAGTCACATTCTTGCCATCAAGGCAAACTTCAGGCAGCTACGAGGAGCTATCCAACTTGAGACCCTCACCTCGGTGCTCTTGCACTAGCCTTGGCTACAGATGGGACATGGGAGAAGCCCACACCACGTGGATGTCTACTAGAAACACTTCCCTCCAGGAGCGTAGCTCACTGGCAGCAGCCCCAGCACTGCTGTCCTTCTCGGCCACCTTTCTCAGCTATGTCTGCCTTGCACAGAGTTCAGGCACGGTGTTTCACCTCATGAAAAAGAGATGATGGTGCTGCATCAGGAGAAGCATGAGATCAGGCTGAAGAAAGCAAGTCTCAGAGCACAAAGCTCTGAATTTCTAATCCTCACCTGAATACATCACTGACTCCAACCAACACAATTCCTCATAGACAACATATTTTTTTACTCAATCCTATTCTGATAAGTGGTCTAACACCTCCAACACTTTTTCAAGAAAGAAGTTGATGCAGAGAACTGGCCCAAGCTTTTTTTAGCTCTGTTTGTCAAAGTTATTTGCAACCAATCAAATCCAGGCTAACAGAACCATAAAAGTAGGACACGTTATCTATGGGTTGTGCTAAACCTTCTCCTTACATTACAAGACACACATGGACAAATGCATACATAGCAAACAAAAGAAAGAAAACACAGAAACAGGATCCAACAGCCATAGAGACATCTCAATGGCAGAAACAGAGGTCTGGAACAACACTTTGAAAGTAAGAGATGCACACAAAAACTACGTCATGTATCTTCAAAGGGTGAGATATTTTAAGTGATTCCAGCTGAAAAAAACGTATTCACCAGACTAAAATATTATATTAATTCTTGCATTTCACTCAATCTGTAAGAACAAAAAAATACACCTAAGGATTAAGTAAAACATCTTTAGCAGTACAGGAGGAGAAAAAATGGAATATACAGAGACAGGCACCATGCATTTCACTGTCCCACCCCCTGTCTCTAGCCTGCCACATGATCCAAGATGAGGGCAGACCCCCTCATCTTCTGCACCGACACAAGAATGATAAAGGGTAAAACTAGGAGAGAGGCACCACAACAAAGATGTGCCTGTCCCCCCCAAAAAACAGATCATACACCACTGTGCAAAATATTAGAAGATAAAGTTACGAGAAAATCTTACCTGCAACATAGTCGCCAAATCCAATGGTAGTTAAAGTGATAACCACAAAATAAATTGCATCTAGTGTGCTCCAACCTTCTATGTGCTTGAATATAACTGCAGGAAGAGCAACAAACAGCACGCAGCCAAACAGTATGAATATTATTGTTGAAATTATGCGAATCTTTGTCTGACTCACATTCCATTTCTGGAAAGGGAAGGGGAAAGAGAGGAAACCCATCGTTAATAAAACTGCACCACTGTATATAGGCACCGATCACCCACAGTGAGCACTATATTGCTCAAGAGGACAGTGCATTATAAATTCTCAAGTAAACAGGAAAATCAAAGCAGTGTTTTATTTTGAAAGGGTTTTCAAAGCAAACATGACTACCCTAGGAAACATTTACTAGCAGGAAATGCAGAGCAGGGCTAGACTCTTCATTGTGGCCAGGTTTGTGATCTGAGTGAGTGGCATGTGTAGCATTCATTAACACTTGATCATGCTCAAGTTTTGAGTAGGGGCTAGATATCTGAGTGAGCTTCAAGCGGTGTTCACACCTGCGATGTCCCTACGTTTATGCATCCACAAATAACTGAATAAAAAAGGTGAATTTTAACCATACATTTCTCTCTAATCAAGTAACTGGCTAAATAACCACAGAAAATAGAGCTGGGAGAGATAACCTCTTCCAAATCTGCCCCAAGACAAAAACAACCCAACTAAGCCACTGCAGATACATTACTGACCAACAGTATGTGATCATGCTTAACTGTTCTTGTCATCAGAAGGTTTTCTTAATGCTTAACTTGCATCTCATCTCCTTCAGTTTTAGTCTACTATTGATGGTTTTATACAAGGCAAAGAAAGGAATTGCTACTTTGCTCTTCCCAGCAAACTTTTACAGGTGTTTTCTTTCAGTCATATATTCTTTAGACCAAATAAACTAATTTCTTTCAGTCTTTCTTCACCCTTCCATTCTCATTGCTATCCCTTGGCTCCAACCAACTAATCCATGTTTCATTAGGTGTTGTACCCAAAAATAGATGTAAAAAAAATGAATCACAAAATAGAATGGAAGGAACCTTTCTTATGCTTTATCCATTTATTCATTTATTTACACTCCTGTTTATACTTCTAACTATGATGTATGCTTTTCACAGCAGTATGACATTAATCCATGTTATCTTATGAGCCTCTGGAGTCCTCAGAACATTTCTACAAAATTGCACCTAGGCAACTGTTTCCTGTCATGTAATTGCATATTTTATTATTCTTTCAAAGAGTACTTTGAATTTGTCCCTCCTGAATTTAATCCCATATAGTCAGGCTGCTTCTCAAAATGTTCAAGATCATTTTGAATTCTGATTGTCTTCTAACTTTTAGTTCTCCACATCTTGAAATAATCTGCAGATTTAATGAACAGAGTCCTTTATCTGTTGTGTAAACTATTAATGAAATTTAACAGTACCAAAGCTAGAACAGACCACTGCAAAATCCCATTTGACATGCCCTGCCAGTTTGACAATTTTCCTCTCAGTACAGTGTTCCATCCATCCAAAGCACATTGGTTCAACTTAAAGTAAGCAAGGGATTGCACAAAACTGAAAACTTTCACAAAAGGAGACCAAAAATGAAATCAAACTGTTCACCATACATGTTTTCTTGCATTTAAGTTCAGTGCCAATGGAAACTATGCTTTACAGCCAGCATGAGCAAGGTTCAGCTTTTGTAACCCAAATCACAGGAGTAGTTTCAGTTATGGCAACATGGCTCTGACCCATCAGCATCACCCAGTTCTTCTTTTGGAGAACTCATAAACAGAACAAGGAAGTGTTCCAGACGGCAAAACATAGATCCATGTTTTCATTCAGAGATTGAAAAAGGGGACAAGACGCTGCTTTTTATGTTGGGAAATTCTTATAGGGACACATCCATTACAAAAAAAAAGGAAAACCATTATCCCCATGAGCAACAGGCCAAGACACACAAATTGGTCTCAAATCTTTTGTACTTTTCAGCAAAAAATAAAATCCAGTTATAAAAAACCCAGAAAGGATAAAAACAAAATGTTCTTATTGAATGTTCTTGCCTTTTTCAGGCAAATCTCAATAGAAATAGATGTTATTCACCAGTAACTTTCTGGACTTGAACTGATATTTCAAAGTCAAAAATACCTGCCTTTTCTTAAAAAGCTTTCAAGCTTGTATTTACCTATTGCATAAGACTCCTCAGTGCAGCCCCAGTTTGCTTTGCTTCAAAAATAAGGCCATGGCAGACCCTTCCTATTATAGAAAAGATTAGGGCTTGTTGCAGAAAAACAATCCTTCTAACACTTGCAGTGCTAATGCAAACAGCTACAACATCAAGCTGATTACTCCGTACTCACTGGATATGACATTCTACATATCAAAAGACAAACAGTATTTTATATGTAGTTTGAATGTTAGGTAATAGTTAAACCTACAACATTTTATTAAAGGTTAGTAAAACACCTAAATAATTAGGTTTATTAAGTTTCATTATTCTATGCTTCAAAAATCTCAGTAAATACATTTTTAATAACTGCATTGTAAAATACAACCTTAATAAACTTTTCTGTGTGTGAAACAGAGCCTAAGATAAGTAAATTAAGTCCCTCTGCTAGAATTCAAAGCATTTGTTCGTTAACGACTGGCTATAGCTGAACTTCATCAATATCTCCGCAAGCTTCAAGTCTGTTTGACAAGCCTCTTCCTCTACTGAAACTGTGCCCCTCTCCGTGAATAATTAAAGATCAGTAGCCAAACAGAACGATGGGCAAGAACTTCTAGGCTGTGCTAAGCAGTACAGCAGAAGAGGCTGAAAATACCTTAAGCAGTAAAACATTCTACTAGCATGGAGCGTTGGTCTAGCAAGGAGACCTCAAAGGGGAGTCCAATGTCAGGGAAGCATCAGCAGGCTCTGTACCATTTAGGCTGTTCTGCTTCAGTGAACGCCCAAAGCTTTAGTCACTTGCAGGCCCATAAATCTGGAAATGTAGATGCCTACAGACTGTAAGCATTTCCTCTGCTATGATGGCATCTGAGTCAAGATTTTAAGACTTAATGATTTTAGGCTCAGACACCGAAGGTTTTGTTTCTGTGAATCAACTCAAAGCAGCAGCAACAATTTCCACACGTTACCCCTGCAGCTCCACTCTTCCATCTCTCTGAGTCAGTGATTTCCTACCACAAACTATATGACAACCTTTAAAGGTAAACATCACAGCAAGCTTAGGAGTATAAGGGCAAAGCAAAAATAAAATGTTTTGGATCTTGTTCCTCTTCCCAACCATAATCATTGTAGAAAACGTTGGGCTTCATCCAGTTCTCAATTAACAATGTTCAGTAACATGTCCAGACTTTGCAAAGTTCTTCCTACTTTTTGCTAGGCATCTGGTTACATGATGAGCTCTACCCTGTTTTTCAGACTTTTCATTTCACTTGTGAACTTTAGAACATCGAGCAGCATGAAGAAAAAACAAGCCAGTCAGTATACTCACAACAAAGGTATCTTCTACTTTGGCAATTCCTTTTCCAAAGATCGTCCCTAGTTGATCTCCAACACCAGCCAACAGAAAACCAAACAGAGGAATTCCCAGTAAGGCATAGATGATACAGAATATCTTTCCACCTTGTGTGCGTGGGGAGATGTTTCCAAAGCCTAAATTACAAACAACTTCAGATGTTTAAGAAGTTACATATATTACATTACACATTTAAAAAAGACAGTTTGCAAACACAGGTCCTACTAGGTAAAACATATGACACAGCAAACATTGTGAAAAATCAAATGAAAGTGTAGGTCATGTAATCCTCTGAGCTAAAATTAAACCGCTGCACAATTCACTTTTTTTTTTATATATTGTATACATATATACACTGTGAAGAAAAATCTCTCCCACTAGAGAAATATTTCTTTTATTATTTAAATAAATGTCAGCTTTTCTCATCTACTACATGTGGTTAATACCAATTGGTTAAGATATGCGTTAGCCTCTGCTACCTGCAAATGTCTATTACTGGACTCATAATTGGCAGACTGCAGTACTTGTAAACAAAATACAATTTTCTTTCAGATGTGCCGTGTTTCAAATTGAAGCAGCCTGAAAAAAAGCCACTTGGATGAGCAAAACAGGGATTTCTAGAATAAATGGGACTGCTTAGAGTCCTCATTATTAAAGGCTTTGGTTCTTTCAGTGTCACAAACAAAGCTTAGAGAAACAGTTTACAGTTCACAGCTCTGTCCATTCCAAAGTGGAAATCATTTTGTCTTCACTGGCTTGTGAAAAAAGAGCACTCCAATATGCCTGGGATAGCTCAATTGCTGCTGGTCCACTTAAAATGGGGAGACTGGAATACAAAGAGCACAGGCCCCAGCATCTGTGAAACACCCTCAGATGCATCTCCCAGGACTGGTATTTTAATGGTTTGCCCAAGGTCACCTAGACAGAACCCTACAGACCAGTTTCATGAGCAGCAGTCCACAGTTTTAATTCAAACATTTTTCTCCTCCAAAGGATCACTCAGAGTTTTGAGGGAGCAGTGGGGCAGCTGTAGGAGCACCCCAGCATTTTTGGGATTGTTTCACTTTTCTGTACAATGTGCACTTTGAAGGAAGAAGAATTATTTTGTCAGGGTGGGGGGAAAGGCCTTTCGAATGCCTTTTGACAGAGAAAGGCTTATTTTCCATGGAGAAACTAAACAAAATCCTTTTTAAAAAGTTACCTTTTTTGTAGGAAAAGATAACTTGTAAATAAAAAGCAAAATATTTTAGCAAGTAATTGAGAAACTTGTTTCTCAGTGTCTTAATTAAATATTTTAAGATACTTCTCTTCTATACAAAAATCATTCAGTGAAAATCCAATTTTCATGTGAAAAAGCTGACAGACAAATGTTATCAGCTCTATTAAGAGTTTGCAATGTCAGTTTTCTTTTTAAAATAGCTTAGTATTTATGCACAATGACTGTAAGCTTCCACAATGCAAAGCACATTTAATGAATACCTTAGCTATTTATCAGAATTTTTATTTAACTATTTTGAGTGTGTTGTTTTAACATAGATTTTCTTTCTGAAACCTATTATCGTAATTTTTGGTTCTGCTCTCATGTAGCTACGCTACACCAAAGCTATGTCAAAACTACTTTTTCCTTTCAGTACACAGGAGACAAAGCTGCCCCTCACTCACCTTCATTAAAGAAAAGGTAAATCACATTGGGAATATATCTTACTCCTAGATATTTTGCCCTAATATCTGTTACCAGATAGTAATTGTGCAAATAATAAGTGCAATATTGACAGAGTTCACTTGGATTAAAAAAAAAAAGTTAAAAGTTCATATTTTCCCCAAATTATGACTAATAAACCCTATCAAACTAAAACATAAAGGACAAAATTACAGGAAACATCATCAATTACAGGTCATGGAGTCCTCCAACTTCGTAAGTTTTCCCTGCACTACTATAATAAAAACAGTCTGTCTCAGGCAAGTGGAATAAAGTCACAGTGCCTTTAGTCCAACCTCATATCCCTCCCTAACCCAGAGCTAGGGCTAAAGTTACTGATTATTATAATTCAGGAAATTTCATCTCCACTAAGTTCACTCTGTCCCTTCATGCACCAAGCAGAAAAGACCCTTGAGTTTTAAAATAAAATTAGCTCATCAGCAACCAAAAAGGGACAAACAGATCCAAGCTACTCTGTTTTCATAAGTGTGCATGTTTATGCATCAACAGGAGCTTGAATAGTTGCCAGGGTGTAATTCCTGAGGGGTCCTAATGCAATTCAGAATAAGGGGTCTGGATACACCAGATATATAAAACTCGCACTAAGAGATTTGGAAATCGTTCTCCCTTTTTTAGTTTAAGAACTGTATTCACTTGCTCTACAAAGTGGTGTCTTGTAATGGTGACAAAATACCAGACCAGTGGAGCATGTGCCAAGCAGGTAGTTTTACTCGGTTAGCTTCATAAAGCAAACTGGCATTTTCTGTGCACCCCACAGCTATTACAGAGCCAACTGCTGCGGCGGCGTACGTCTCATCTGCTGCTAATCGCTATGAGGACAAGAAGTTCATGTTCAGCTCCATATATTCTCCTCCCTAAATCAGTCACGTCTCGCTCAAGAAAAGGATGGTACCTCACTTCTACACTCAGACATTCTTCCTTTTCATCCTGAAAAATGACAAATGTTTTTCTTCTAGAAATGACAAAGAAGGTCTTGTACTATTAGCTACACTTTAAAAAAAGCTCACCCATTCCTGGATAAAATAATACTCCAACAGTAGTTCATCTCTGTCCAGATGCCCACTGCGCATAACACAAAGCATGGCGCTTTCGTGATAGGACATGTACTTGAGCAAACTGATCTACCAAGGGTTGTCCATCACACATTAATCACATTTCCTATAGTGTCATGTTTCATAACAGTCTGCTGCTGTACACCACAGCCTACTTCGCAACTTACACAAATTGTTCTTACATCCTACTCGCCGTTTCTCCAGTGAAAAGCTAATCCATCATTTATGCAACAGGAGAGAAAACGTATTTATATTTCATACGGTTGATGTAATTCCTGAGGGTTTTGTCTCAGAAAAGTATTATTCCTTTCTTTAAAGAAAAGAAAAAAAAAAATCAGAAGAATCCTGCTGCTAGGTAAAACCAAAGGACACCTTCATTTTGGGCATTGTGCTTGGAGAGGAGTACACGGCCCCAGGAAGGCCGCCATATAGTCCCTGAGTACCACCCAGCTCTTCCCCAAACGCAGGGCAGGAACGCCCAGCACCGCTGCAACAGCTCTCTGGCACGGTGGTGTCGCTTCAGAGTTCCCACTTTTGCTCCAGAGGCCGGCACAAAGTCTGTCTGCACTCACTGAGAAACCTGGGGGAATCGGCCACGTCACAGTACGCTCTCTGCCTCCTCTTCCCTCCCAGCTGTTGACATCGAGGACATGGGGATGGCACACACGGCAATCATATGGGCAGCATCAGTACCTCAGGACCTCCGTTGCTCTTCACACCTTCAGTCCCGTGTGGCTTTTCTCTTCCTCTGGCTCTACTGAGCAGATAGTTCATTGAACCAGTCTGTTCCCCATTAAAACCATTACACTTGCTTTTGAACATGGAAATAAACTAAGCACTTGATTTAAACTTGCCAAATTTATCAGAAAGTTTCCCTCAAAGAGCTTTTAACCAACACTATCTGCAATGAACAGTACAGAGTATAAAATTTAACTTGCAGAATGGGATCAGTTTCACCCAAGACAATGTTAGTACCATTTTCAGACTGTCCTTCCCAATGCAACCCCCTCACTTCACTTTCACAACCAGGAATACAATTTGCCTCCTAATTTC